TTAGGATGGAAGCCTCTTCAATCTGAACGTATATTCAGGTAAGGTAGAGGTATCCTTCTTTTATCTAGGTTGACATTCAGGATACAACTATATTATGTATTAAGGCTTCTTCTCAGGATTATTTCCCCTATTAAAGCTCATTCCGAACCATTACAGTACTTAATTTTTTATCTTGTATTTAGGTTGGTTTTTAAGGTTAATGTTGGTTTCCTTATATGTCAATATTTTTTGTTTTTTCTTCTTATTTCCTTTAGCTGTTCTCCTCCCCCCCCCCCCTCTCTCTCTCTCTCTCTCTCTCTCTCTCTCTTTCTCTCTCTTGTCGCTTTCTGTCTCTCTCACTCTCTCCTGCTCCCTCTCTCCCTCTCTCATTCTCTCTAATTGTCTCTGTTTTAGGTTGAACTCCTGTGTGTCTTATTCAAAACCTAACAGAATAATGACTCAACTTCTGAAAAATATCCCAGAGCCTTTTGTAACTACGTCAACACGCAAATATATGCTCTTTATGGCTGGCTATCAGAATGAGCGTATCAGTTGCAAACAGAGCAGATAAGACTGGGCGGAGAATAGAAGTACAGGCTTAATCCAGTCAAAGAGTAGGTCCAGCTAGTAAGCGGCTTTTAGGAGGGGCTTGCTTGGCCAAAGCCCCCAAGACATGGCTCGGAGGACACACCCTCCAAATATATTCATTGAATATTTTCCACATCTTCAAGGGAAGAAAAAATAATTGTTTGTCTTTAGAATTACTTCCCTACTTGAACTTTTATGTGCACTGTTAGCAAAGTTGTAAAGGCTAGACAATTAAAGGAAATGATTGGAGGGAGCATGTAATTTTTCATTGAGAGTTAGTGTGAAAACTAATTTACCAAACTGTCTTATCTTCCTTTTGTTTGTCTTTTTTTTAGAGTCTTGTTATTGATGTTTGACGTTCTGTGAAGTTAAAGTGCTTCAGGGATGTCTTACATTTTGCCAGTATACATTTCAATATCATAATGATCCAATCATTTTAAACAGTACTAAAACTGGCAAAGGACAGATAAGAACTCGTGAATTTTCAAAATTTGTATCAGTTTAACCATCACCATCATGAATTAAAATATTGCATGATTTTAGTTTTAGTGATATTCCTCATTAAATTCTATGTGTAATTGTTCACGACGTCAAATGATATTGATAGCCCCATGACCCCTTCGATCATCATGACGATCACTTGGAGTGCAGTTGGTCAGGAAACATTGTATTATGTACCCTGCTAGCTTGACAATTCTATCTTTAGATAAGACATCAGGGATTAAGGTGCTAAGCAAAATATGATAAGATACGAGAACTCAAAATGTTTGACAAGTAAACACCTCTGAGACAATCCAGAATATTAGCAATAGCATTTGCATTATCTCTTGTGCCATAGCAATACTAGAGATAGGAGAATATATTAAATAGAAGCCTGTAGGTGTGTAGATTGTGCAAGAAAAACTAAGTAAAGTAGGATAAGAGAGGAAAATAAGGGATTAAGTCTGACTTTGACTAGTCATTGTAAATGAAGTTTTGTCATCTTATGAGGAGCCAGAGAGATGTTGGTATGGAAATTGGAACCCTTTATTTTTAAGCGTTTCCGTTCTTGCTCAAAAGAATATGAAAGAGAAGACCTATTCCTAAAATGAAGATATAAATGGTTGAAAATAAAAAGAACAACAAAATGAAATGTTTATAAAAGAGGACTATTGTCCATTCTGTATGAATCTTCACAACAACCATCTCTTCTTTTCATCTTGTGTGGTATAAAAGCTTCTGTCATTATCCTACACTTGAAGGATTAGATGGAGATGAATCTTTTCTCTCATCTCCAATCCTGAGCAGGCCTCTTACCGGTCTGTTTCCCCCTGCACTTCATGGGTGTATACATCATGCATTCCAGCGGTAGGAAGCGGCAAAGTGCAAATTGTGCAGGACTATTTCTACCTTTATTTCTTGTCCGTATTGTTCCCTTCATTTTCTTTATGTCTGGTTAATCCTGTATTGAATCTGCTTTTTTACCTTTAGGAAGGGGTATTATTCAGGCTCAATCATAGCGTGTCGCTGAATGAAAAGTCTTTATGTTCCTTCACCAGGCACCCATGTCATTTTCAGAGGCATTCACACAAGAGAAAATGTATACAAAACTTTTTAAGAGAGGCATTGAGAATTATTGTATACTAGTGGTGGAAGGAGCATATGGGATAAGAAAATTGTACAAAGGAATGCTGTATACAGAAAGTGTTTTCTGTGAAGGTCAGCTTAATCCATAATTATATCACATGATGAAATAGCTGGCTGGTCATATCAGCATCTACTCCTGTTAGGCTCCACTTACCTATATACATGGGTTTTGTTTGTTAGAATGATCCGATAAACCCTTTGTCTTTATCAAATGTTAGTTCAAAATAATGATCCAAACTCATTTTCTCTACGCAGTGTTCTGTTATACAGTGCTTAAAATAGAAAATGACATGGCATATTTCATGTTGCTATGTGACAATTTTAACTCGTCTGAATGGGGTTGGGATTTGCTTCTGAAGAAGTGTGTTTTCTGTTTTCTGTTTTCTATTTCGCCTTTATAAATTCTTTTCAACTGGCGATTTTGTTCGCTGGCCTTTGTGTATCAGTGAGAATCGGAAAGAATGGATGAAAATAATTTATATCTGCGATCAATCATTTATATTTCATATTATTCACATTTTATGTCATTTTGAAATTGATATTCCACATCCTGACCGTATTTCTTTCATTCTGTCACCCATACATCCCCAATTTGTGCATGCTATTCAGAATGGATGGCATCATTGGAATGGCACGGCTTGTTCTATTTTACTTTGTATTATTTTGTTGACCATGTGAGGAGCTTTTGGGTGTGGGGTCTTTATAGCCTTTTATACCCAGTAGGACTTCAAGAGATTTCAGAGTTTAAACTCCTTTACAAGGGAATAAAAGAGAATCAATGAAAAGGGATAAGCATTAGAAAATACTAATACTGTAAGAAGAAAAGACAATGATTGAAAAGGCACTGTCAAAAAAAGGCTTGATTAATTTCAATGACAGATCTACTGATGTTTGGCCTATTTTTGTGTTATATATCATCTCTCCTTTTCTATATTTCACTCTTCTTCTCCATGTCTCCCTCTCTTACTCTTTGATGTTTCTTTCACACCATTTGACAATCATATGGTTGTTACTACGACCGTCTAAAATTTCATATTTTCCGACCTATTTACTTCTCTCGGTTACCTTACATTGAATCAGTTTTAGTCACTCCCTAAATACATACCTTTAAAGGGAATTGAAAAAGACTATTTCTTCAAGGTATATTTTTTATGTATAACATTGCCCATATTTTCTGTGGATACACAATATGTACTATAAGTAAGCCATTTCATACATTTTTTCAATACACTGGTTTACCCAGAGGCACAGTAAAAAAAAAACATTCCTGAAAATGATTTGACTTTGACTGATTTGACTAAGAGCAAGCTATCTTGTTTTCTATCTCATGTATCACTTTTTCTATTACATATGGCTGTTTTTCCTTTAAATTATGGTAGTGAGATAGCATCTAAAGTGGTGTATCATTGTGTGGAAGCTTTTTCATGTTTGAGTTAATCTTTAGCCTCTAGCATTTCCTTTCAAATTGAGAAATAAATATTGATATCTTACACTATTCTTGATAGAAAAACAAGTTTTGATTATTTGAACTGCCTTAAAATTGCATGGCAATTTACCATTGTATATTTTGAATGAAATTCAATTCCGATGAGGCTGGTCGACCACATTTTGTAGACAAGGTTGCTTTGCTGACTATTTATCTTGTGAGAATCGATTAGGTACAGGTTATGGCTACCCAAATGTGAAAAATATGTGCATTATAACACAGAGAAATAGTTATTTTTCTTTAACCTTCCCACCAAATTTCACCTTCAGCCAGGCAGGTTTTTAGTATTAGCCGATTTGAAATGTTATCCGATTTTGCTCAAACTATTTTAGATTGGTTTGTCTGATTTTTCTGCTTCTATTGAGAGCAAGTTATTTTTGGAGTGGACTTGCCCTTTAATACATTTAGGGAAACATTGAATTACCTGTGCCATGCTTATTGTTCTTGTCATAACCTAGCCAATGTTTACTATAACTGTCACATATGTTGAGTGTCATACTGGAAATAGAGAGTTGGAACAAAGATTCTTTCATACATGTTTGTGATGGATTTTAATTGGAAACTTTATTTTGCATGATGACGCATTTTGTCCATCTCATTTTGGTTATTTCACATCCTTCTTGTTCCTTTCACCCCTCTATCTCTGCACATTTCTTTTTCTCATTCGCTCTCAATTGTCTTTTCTCCTTCTCCCCATCTATCTAGCTGTCTTCCTCACTCCTTCTGTCCTCTCCATATCACCCTTTCTCTCTTTTTCTTTCTCTCTGTCCAGCTTTCTTGTGAGCTCCCTATTCCCTACCACTCATTTTCTGCACCATTGCTAAAACCCAATCACATGTTAGTTGATAGAATACTGGTAAGCTCTTACTGGCACCCTGGTTTGGTTAAAACTTGCACTCATTGCCATGCCCACTACATACAAATGGATCCAAGTATCATAGCATTGTATGTTTGACAATGCAATACTCCAGCTAGGCATCTGTATACCTTTTCCCAAAGAGGCACAAGCATTTGTATCAAACAAATGAAATAATAGCCCATATTTGCCAAGAGGGAATGACTACACTAGACAAACAAGGACTGTTCCCCAATGGATCCCATCTATCAATCTTTGTAATCTTCACTTCTTTCTTTTCAATTGTTCTTCCAAAAGAGATTGCCTGTATCACTTCAAAAGAAAGCGTCCCCCAAAAGAAAGAAAAAAGTGCTCATCCCAGGCCTGAAAGGAAATGGTAGGCGAAGAAGAATAGAGAGATGGCTCACACAAAGAATATAAGTGTATACCTTGTAAACATCAAGTACAGACATGTGGAGACAGAGATGCAATAAATCCAATTCAGTTTTATTTGATAGTCAATAAAAACGCTCTTAGCAGAACAATGATGCCAACATAAAGCTTTCACGTCCTGCCAAACCTAAAGAAGTATACATACATGTAAATGCCAGTTTCAGTAATTTCCTATTGTGCACATTTACGTTACACCATTACTCACAGTCATCCGATCAAACAAACTTGAGCTCAAAATATTCTCATTACAGTTTTACAGGAAATGTATTTTGAAAGAGAGAGACGGATGGTATATACTAAGTTTACTGATATATCTTTTTTTCTCTCTCCTGATTGCTGATATAGAAGTTCAGTTTTTTATTGGCTGGGTGGTCTACAAAGTATTATAAAGGGAGGCTAAGGAAAAAGATTTCAAGCTTCCCTTATTTTTGTTGTTGAAATACCAACAATCCGAACAATATCCTATCCAGGTAGGGGGGTCCTATTGTCTACCCTCTCCAAGAGAAAGAAAGGACTGTTGCGTAACCTTGTTTGCTGGCTGGAGTAATAGTGGACGGATGAACAATGAGCTCATCACCGGTATCTGACCTAGGACTACCTATTGAAGGGATTGCCTGGAGAGCTTCTTTTGTGCTTCATCTGTCTTGAAGATTGGGAATCATATAGAAGTGAAGGGAGTAAGACAGCAGGGACGATGAGGGGTGTATAATGTGAGCTCAATAAAAACACATAAGAACTAAAAAAAAATGCACATATTCATCTTCTGCTCATCCATCAGCAGCTAAACTGTACTCAGAAAACCCTTTCACATCTTAAAGATACCATCATATACACTGTACATGAAGGTTTCTCCTTTAGTGAACATTCCTGTAGATGGTTGGAAGTTCTATTATCGATAGATGATAAGATGATTAACTTCACAGTATTGGAAGATGCATTGACATTATTTAATGGAAAGGTTACAGCAATTGCCAAAACAGGCTTACAAATAACATACTATTTAATTTGGGTGTTATAATTACTTGAAGGTTGGCTTTGCTGATTATTGGGCTGTCAAAAGCCTGTAAGTGTAACACTTTGAAGTGAGTGCATTATTTCGATAAGAAAGTTGAACGATAATTCTGATTTAAAATACTTCTTTTTGGAAATGACATACTGGTAAAACTTCTCTCTCCACTAGGAATGACATACATGACATGTATCAATGACAATATCAATGTTCTTTTAATTCCATTGAAATTTGAAAAACAGTAACTTCTTCAACAAATCTGTGTTGAAAATTGTTTTGAAAGTGGGATGATTTATGCAAACATGTGGTCATAAAGATATATAATTTCAAATAATCTCTTAAATATGTACAACAGGAGCATGAAACATTTTATCTCAATTAAAATACAAAGAAACTAGGAATTCTGATATTTTGCAACATACATTTAGACATACTGCCATACTTGAATTTGATGGAAAACAATTACGCCAACTATTTGTAGCGACAATAGTAGTGAGAGCATGGTGGTCTAGTTTTATATGTCATGAATGTCAAAAATCAATCTTCAAGAGTAACTTTCAAATAAAACTAGATCATGAGTAATTATTTCAGTACAAATGATAGTGATAAATAATGTTGTGTACTTGCCTCAAAATGGTATACTGACACAAAGAAATAAAATAGTACTCTTTTGAATATCTTTTCTTAGCAGTCTCACAGGTTTTCCAGATCATACTGACATTGAGAAAGAGTCTGATTCATCAGGTACCTTTAAACAGTCAGCAGTCATATGAACAGCTTTAACAAAAGTTAGGACAAACCAAGCAATTTTTAAGCAAACAACTATTTCGCTACATTTCTTTTTCACCTTTTCTTTAGTGCTTTAGATATTGCAACATCAATAAAACAAAAATGTCTGAGAAACGGCCGCGTATTCATCTGCACATGTTTATGTTAACAAAATATATTAATATCAAACATTCACGTCGACAATTGCAGAATGAGTTACGGCTTTGGCATGTTCTTTGACTGTTAGAAACAGTCTCAAATGTTCCATAGAGAAAGGACACACACAATGAGTTTTATGTTGGGATACAGCATAGCTTTTTCCAGAGTGCTCCTTTCTTTTTAGGTTTCGTGTCCTGCGCTCTCTTCGGTGGCGGTGGTATCTTCTCTTTCCGACTCAATCTCCGTCTCAGGCTTTTTGACGATTTAGGTGGTTTCGTGTACTCAAGTCCAGTTAATATTACTGCATCAAACACTTCCTTGAGATTGTGCTGTGTAAGTGCAGAGCATTCAATGTAGCCTACGGCATTGATACGACTTGCTCGCATAGATGCCTCCTCTTCACAGATAGGACGTTCCTCATGTTTTGAAAGGTCTATGAGAACGTTAACATCTGTCCGGAGATCACACTGTGTACCGATCAGGAGGATGGGAGTCTTGGGATTGTGACGTCTGATCTCTGGGAGCCATTTCTCTAAGACGTTATGGAATGAGGTGGGTGAAACGACGCTGAAACACAGGAGGAAGACGTCTGTTTGAGGGTAGCACAAGGGCCTCAGAGAATCAAAGTCATCCTGAAATGATACAGAAACAGAAAACAGTTTCATTAGTACCTTTGAATACAGGGATAACACTGTTCAAAAAATTAATAAGACCAACAAGTTCAACAACAAATAAATATTTGGAAGACTTTTTTTTTTTATTGCGTATATGTATTGGGCCTCCATGTTTTTAGTTCATTTGGTTCAGTGTAACATGTTTTTAATTGCTTGCCTTTTTTTTCTATGTGATAGACAAATAATGTATTTTCCCCTGAAAATCCAAATGCTGATATTTTATTCATATAGAAGATAAAAATATGATAATTCTGTTGTATAATTCTGCATATCATGTGTCTCAACTCAAATATGTTATGCAGACACAATTTTGTCTGCATGGGGTGTCATAACATGTACAGTATGTATCTGGGCTCATACAGGTCATAAACATGTCTAGCCCACCAACAGCGTGTGGCATTTTAAGGACTACAAACTGATTGAAACGTCTCAAAACTTCTCCTGTAACCCTGCTGAATCCTGCATCTCCTAACATGTGCTTGGAATTGATTGTGACAGCTAGGCTTGCCAGATGCATTGCAGTCACATGCCCATAGATATCATACAGGGGCTGAACTAGATGGGATGTAGACTAGACTACAAAACATGTACTGGTATCTAGTATATATGCACATATTTCCCACAACCTTTGTTAAAGTGGACTGCATTTTATAGCCTTGACTAAAAATTACCTTTGAAGTATTAGAAAAGAGTCCTGGCTCCCCCCCCCCCCCCCCCCCCCCCCGTTTCATAAAACTTGTTATCAAATTACTATGACAAATTTGCTCTTAACAAATCAAATGCCATGATTTCCAGTAGCTTATAACAGTTACTGGAATTTGTTATTGAAATTCAGTTTTATGAAACCTGTAGGCCCCTGGTCTACAAACTGCAATGTACATGTATGTACATTTAGGAAGAAGTGAATTTGCCCCAAAACTTTGAAGAAGAGTCAATAGCCATGGATAGGATCAATGCTCTCTGATGCTACATTCAAATGCCCAAGGACATATCAACTATATTCCTTCAATAGATGTAATCAGACTACAGTCACTACATCAATAAGCCAGGTCGCAAAATTGATTTTGATCAATACCCTGTGACGACGCATGTATTGTGTAAATGAAATATATTCTACCCCTGTGACATCCCCTCAATGATAATAACAAGTCGCACAAATGTGCTACCCTGACTTCTTTGAAGCTGATGGATTATACAGTTTTATTGACGGTAATTACATGTGCATCTGTCATGTAAAACCAACACTTGCATTATATTGGAATTTTTGTAATCACCATTATGTATGTGTTTGGAATTAAGTAAGATATTCCTTAGTGACCGTACCATTTCAACTCCTTCACATACTTTTATGTGTAGGTCATTCATCTTTTAAAGCAACCATGCTGGAATCATAACAAGACAAAATACTGCCTACAGGACTACAGGTAGATTTTAAGAATTAAGGCGAACTACAATTTCTGATAAGGAAAAAAGGAGTAGGGCAAACCAAAACAACATACACATTACTGTACTTCAATAGTATTGATAAAAACTTTGCATGCTGCAGTACAACTCAGTCAACAGATTTACAAGTACAGTTACATGTACAGTAGCATGTTGTTTTTGCTTTTCCCTCTCAAGTTCTAAGCTTCTTCAGACCATTGTGTCACCTTAATTATTTTTCCAAATAAATTGCTTCAAAATCCTATAAAAAGGCCCTTTCACTTCGACCATGTCATTGAAAAATACAGCAGAAAAGAGAAGATTTGAGGACCCTATCAGGTTTATAGGAACATAAAATGGAATTAGTCAGAAGTGGTAATCTAAGGACTAGGACTACCCTTGTGTAACAAACTAATCAACAGGGGTAAGCTAATTCCTTAAAATAGATTAGATGGATTAGGATTACAAATGAATAGAGTAATCTGTTTTTCTGGAAGGATTTGGAAAGTTGAAAACAGGATATTTTATGAGAGGATTGTGACCACAGAGAACACCATGCAGAGTGGAAGTTTTTGTAGAAGAGAGGGTATTAAACAGCAGGGGCAGAGAAGGTCATTGATGGATTGGAGGGGTACATTGTGTACCTCATTCTGTTAGAAGACCATTGTCTGTATCATCCTATTGTCTACCAATCCATTAGTTACCCTCTTTTCAAAGATCAAAGGCCCTTTGACAAGATGGTTAACCATTAACAGCATAGTGCATGAGACTGACCATTATATTGCTCAATTTGAAGTGTTTTATGAAGTATGTTGGCATGGACTTAGTAAATAACTGCTGACAGATATCTCACTTGCTCTTTGTGGTTGCAGGAAGCAATAGACACCTTTGATTGTAGATTAAGTAACAGGGAAATACATTTCAATTGAAATTAGATAATCTAGTGCCAATTCCCTGGAGATAATTTATTTAAGTTACATTCGTATTGGCAATTTGGCATCCATCCCTTTACCCGGATTTAAGTCTAGAATTAATCTTTCTGTTTAGGAGAAAGTTACAATTTCTCATTACAATGAAGAATAAATAGCAACTTTCTGAGAAACTACCCGTAATTAAAATTGCAGAGGAAAAAAACATGCGCAGCTAAAATTGTATATGCCTACTGTAGCCAACTATTTTGATTGCTTGCATTCTTTCACATATACATGTAGGCCTACTCATTTTCCAAACCTGTATGACACAACCGTTCATGTCAACATCAATTTGTGGGGTCGTTGTGAATCACTTTGATTCCATCAGCCACTAACACCATAACGCCCATGCAATTTCACAGCTAAACCAATCTGGTGCATGGTTATAGCGTCACTACTAATATTAGGGTATCAGGTATACAGAGGAGGGCAATGATAGAGATGCTTTCATATCACACCTTTTCATTTCCTTGACACACAATACCTGGCGCCTACATCTAAATTCCTTTTTATTTTTTAAAGAGACTTAAAATATAGGCCTCTATAGTCTATACAGTTGTATGTTGAGAACAAGGTATAGACCACTAACATACACATGTACATGTCACAAACTTGAGAGGAACTATAAAATTGCTGATAAATTTTGGACCAACATCCACTGGTTCTACATGTAGGTACATACAAGTACACTTTGAACAGGGCTACGAATAAGGGGGGAAGTAATAATTGGCTTCAAACTGACTATTCAAACAAGCTTTTTATTTGACTACATAATGAAACGTATAGAAGAACCAATGGATTCTGAACAATTCTCAACAGCAATTTGCCAAAATATGACACACAAAGGTTGTTGAGTTTACACAGTCTCAGCTTGTAATGTTTACCTATTTTTTGCGTAGGTGTAGTTCAATAAATGTCGATTTTCAGAGGCCAAAGTACATTGCTATACAAGTGCATGTACATGCAATGTAATACAATGCAAGACTTGTCACTGCATGCATCATGATTGAAATCATGTGAAATAAAACTGGTATGGTATTTCAATTTTTATAATTCCTAGCTCTCTTGAAATAAAATAGTAAAATGTTCTTATCTTCAGTCTATGGCTGTTGCTTATTGCCTGTTTACTGCATATATTTTCATTCATCATGATTCAAGCAAACAGGTATATTATTCCATGTCAGAAAATGATTGGCATTTTACACAAGAGATAATTTAGATACACATAAAAACTGCAAGCCAATATGTGTAGGAATAACATCTGGTTTTTAGCCAATTAGCCTGGAGACCCAATCATATTGGAGCCCCACAGAACAGAAAAAGTCACTAATCAAAAGGTAACTAGACCTAAAGATAGGGGGAAAAAAGCATCCCTTTCAGTGGTATGGTATATTCATTATTGTTTGTTTTTTCCTTCCCTTTCTTTCTTTCTTTCTCTACATACAATAAATTTGCCAATAACTTCCGCTCAGAAATACAGTGTGCATTGTCTGTTGAACCGTGAGTCAAGGTCATAGTCTCTGTGTTCTATATTTCATACTCTGTACCATTCTCTATGAACAATGGCTTGGAAAGGGCATCTTCTGCAAGACTGCAACCTGGCTCGCAAATATTTGTTTTCATTTTACACAGTGGAGTGCAGGAGTGCTATTCATCACCATCCTAGCTGCTCTGTACGTACAGTAAGATGGGTAAATGATGCAAACCACAAAATTGCCTCCTAAACCACAGAACAGGAACCAATATCATTGGTGATAAGTGCTCTCCTATTGTATTGCTGAACCCTACTTAACCCTATATGATTGTGTTCATTATCAATATCATGTCAATAACTTATGAAGTACATGTATGCTAATAAGATAAAATGAACTACCCTGTTACATTTTTATTCTTTATGGCACAATAGTTTATAAGGAGAAAAAAACTGTTTTAAATTGGTATACCATCCTCCCATTTTTATGTTTGGATTATATCATTAGTTATTGTTTTCTACCATACCGAGTGCAGTTTCAGTGCATCCTAAAGTTATGAAACCAGAGTGTGAACTGTAATAGGAACCTTGGTCATTCCAGACATGGTCATGGTGCCTTCCACAGTATCACAGCAGGGCCAGAGCACTGGGCAACTGTGGTGTACGATGTCAGGGTTCATTCACTGCTTCTGTCTGAATACAATGAACTCTACCCCTTGGAGGGCTAGGGGGCTGACATGTACACCCCTTGAATTTGTTCAAGGGATATTGCCATTGTGCAGAATAAAAAGCCCTCTCCAGGGAGGTATGTACTATGTTAGGTATATTGAGTTTGCATCTCATTAACTATAAATAATCATGGTCATAAATAGAGGGAGGGGAATATGTTGAATGATGAATGGGGCTGGGAAGTTTGGTGAATGGATTAGTTGAGTCTTAAATAAACACTGTGAAGTTTTAGAAAGGGAATGGAATTCCTTCCCCAGGAATGCTTGGGAATAATTTTAAGATAATGTTCCCTCTTTCCTGTCTACCAACACTACAATATTAAGCCAGGGCTCAAAATCTTGTTTTGGATCCATGAGCAAAATGTTAAATTGTGGTATTGTAGCCCACTAAACTGCTCAGTATGTTCTGTTTGTGCATGTCCTATACATCTGTGGTTTTAAACCTTCCTAGTATACTGCAAAGTTTTCAAAGAGTTCAATTGATGACTTTTTCATAAAACCGCATCAAAATGAAATGATTGGATTTACCCACGGGCAATAAGAATTTATCAAAAAATATTTACGTCACAGCTAATCTTTTCCACAAATCTTTTATAGTGGTAAAGTGTGGCCTCCAGGCTATAAATTCTCCCCATACTTCTGCAGAGATCATTCACTACCAATGCACGCAAGATATGAGATTCCGGAATAATCATTCATGAAAATCCAGGAATTATCCATGGAAGGCAAATAGCTACAGTTGTAGGGGCCTAAGACATACATTGTACATACTACTAGTGCAATGGCTTGGGTCTGAAACAAACATGTACAGTTTGTTACTATAGATGATGTACCCAAACATTCTACAGAACACTGAATGACATGCCTGCAATTTGTACCAGTCATTTTGAGCAGTCTATTTTTGCATAGTGTAGTGTTACATGTGTATAGAAGCACATGCTAAAATGCAAAATGATTTTGCTGGGTGTGACTGTGAACACTGGTATCATGGAGCTTATTTGCTGAATTACAAGTTACTCAGTGAGTACCAGTGTTTAACCAGAAAGAAAACTATCAGCAGATCAACAAAACCATAGTTTGGTGTCAAACAAATTTTTTATTACCGTTTCTATTGAAATAATTGAAGTGTAGACGATAACACTTGGGAGGTCACAAAAGAGGCCCAATGAATGGTTTATGAAAATATTGTTTCAACAAGGGTTTCATGAAAGGATGCAGACAAATGGAAATGTAAAGTCTACAGGTAACTTGAACCTGAAAGAAACATCAGATATCAGTTTGTACAATATAGGCCTGCATGTACATGTACATGTACAATGTTTGTTATGACTGTTGTTTCCCCTTTCCAAACATATTTCTTTCAAAAGCGTGGGAGGTTTAAAGTGAGCACCTTCATTGTACAACAGTCTGTACGTGATAGAGAACATTCCTATCACATAATGAAACATGACACTTCCTAGTCCAAGGATTTCAAACACCACCCTTTCCACAAAAACAGGAACCCTACAGTCAAAACATTTCACAAGCTTTTGAATGATTGGGCAAACATTTCGCCTCCATTCCGACACCCGGTATTTCACCTGGGTTTTGGAGCACAATGCATGTGAGATATTATTCCAATCGCGTTACTTGAATCGTGCCGTGCCCGATTCTTCACGCTTACAAACTCAGCTGCATGGGCTGAGACCAACAAAAACTTGTCTAAACATGGGCGGTATAGAGTTTTGCACACAGCAGGGTATTGAAGCCATGGCGCCATGATCTGATTAGACTACCACTGTTGGGTCTATTTATTTGGCTAAACTTGAACACTACACATTCAGTCACTCAAAACAAAATTCAGAAATAATTGTTATACAGGGCCTTCAAATTTGTTCTTTGTTCACATGTTAGTCTTGTACTTGTATTTGCTGACTGTGCTGACACTTTATAGGAGACCTACACTGTACATAATTTTGTCATATCAAACTTAGATGGTTGGCAATAGAGGCTATTTAGGCTATATTGATGTAGGGACAAGTTTGTTTTGTTATATTATGTTTTAGTAATAGAGCACTTTATTCTTACAGAAACAGAGATTAGAAGACCTAAAACTTAACTTCACTTATATGTACTCCTTGCTGTTCCTTCCAATTTTCAAAAACTGTCCATATGTGATGTACATGTAATTGTGCAATGCAAAACGTGTTATCTTTAATACAGTTGACTAGGTCCCGACTTGTCGATGATTCATTAAAGTAAATATACCCTCAACTGTGCATGAATATATCGACCGTAGTGTCTCCACACAATAAGATAATTACATGTACGTGTGTACTGTTCGCCCAACAATGTACAGTAAGTTCTCCAAATGGTGAATTAAGTACTATGGACTATTGGACTATGGTATAGGAGACAGTGGATTATGCTTAAATAAATTGCTTTCTAATACTGTATGTAATGATAACTATTTAGAGTTTAAAATTTTAAGTTTTTGTTATAAAACTTTGGAATTTGTACATACATGTACATGTATCAAGGGTTTTATTATTACATAAATTAAATACAATGTGGAATCTTAGTAATTATCTTACCTGCCCGGCAGTGTCGCATATTTGAAGCTTGATCGGTTTTTCATCAACTCTTATGACAACTGAAATAGAAAAAGAAAGAGGAATATTAAATCATTTTAATGTACATGTACAAGTGGCATTTTGATTAACTTATTAATACTAATTGAGGGGATTAACAGATAACAATAAAAGAAAAAGAGGATTAAACTTTTTGTTAGTGCTTATCCAGTTCATTGCCCTCTTTGCCCTACTGAAGTGAAGGGGCACATGCTTTAACGCACATAGACTCACTGTGTTAGCCAACAAAACATAACCGGAAGGGTTTAGAGTCATTCTGTACAGTCACATTGTATCATGGTGAAAAGCCTGATAGTAACAAAAGAAACCCAAAGGAGAGTCCTTTTTTCTCTCTCTCCCATCCCTATTCCTGGGAATACAATGACGCAATTTAAGCATCTTAGTGTGCTCGTCAATAGAAGAGTGAATCATGCCCTGCCTTGAAAGGCTACAAGTTGTTCCCAATCTGAATGGCCACAAAGCATGCACACAAAAACCATGTATTGATGAATGGTGATGCATAACACTAGGTAAACCTTCAATGCTTCTTCTAGTATGGGTGGGGTGATGTATTATAAGAAAAATCATATTATTCCCTTCAAAAAAATACAAGATTATCATGGATAATCTTATTCTCTTCAGATGTCATAAATCAGGATCGAAAAAAGGCATGTGCCAACGCAAACTTCTGTACATACGGTAAATCACATCCTGATCTTTATCCTCGGTTTTCACTTTTTTTGTGGAGGTTGGGGTTGTTCTGGTATGAGTGAATCTGAAATTCTACATTTTCAAAGTTTAAAGCTAAACTTTAGTACTGGTAATGCGATTGCATTGTGAAAGAAAAGGTGTGAAAGGATCAGAAACAGTTGATCATGTAGCATGTAAGTATTGGTGTGCACTGCAAGGTTCTGGAGTCATCAAAATCATAATAAATTTGACCGAGTCTTGGTAAAGTAACAAACACTCACATAGAAAGCTATATATGGGACAACACACATCGTGTCGGGGATGGTACTACCTTGGTTTCCTTGTCTTTCTATGCTCATTACTCAGCCAGTATACATTTTCTTCCAAAATTGTTTGGCACATGTCATTTATTTGTAATCTTGAACATTCAGTGTAAGTTTCGTTTGATTCTGTGAGAATTAATTTTTTTTTTTTACCAGTACTGGGGGGTGTTTCACAAAGATTCTAAGTAGAACTTAACTCTAAGTTGGACTTAAAAATTATGGAAAGCCATTAGCATCTTTGAAAATATTTGGTAAAAATATTTTTGAAAGGCATAAAATGTTTATTCAAATCATTCATATTTTCTATCATTAAGGAGATTTCATATTCTTGTTGTGGAATTTATAAAATGTCTAAAATACTTGAATTTCTGCTTTTGAGTATATTTCATTTTAAGGCTCCAATGGCTGTCCATAATTTTTAAGTCAAACTTAGTGTTAAGTTCTACTTAGGATCTTTGTGAAACACCCCCCTGGAGTTTATCTTTAAGTACACTACTAAAGCAAGCTGAAAACATTTAATGTTAATAGACACCTGTCTATGCATATTGGACGCATTAACTTCATTTATGAAGATCTTCCGCAGTTTCACAGTGATTTTTTTTTTGTACATTTCCTCCACAGACATCAACAGTCATTGTCACCAAATTGAGGAGAGTAGCACCATTACACAATAGTAACTAACCACCAGGATGCTCATACAATTAGTTTAGACAATACGAACACCCATCCTTGCAGCGTCCTGTAGCATCCCCCATCACCAAAAGAGGATTTAGACAAATCAATAATAGGCACAAAGGATATGTTCGATTGTTTAGTCTGGATGCCATCTGCCTGTACTGCTGATCTTTATTGTTCTATTGTACGGTCATGGGGGTAAGTGTTGCCACACGTAATTTAATATGCTTCCTTGGTTACGACGAGTTTGATGGAGAACCACATATTGCAAACATGACAGATCAAAGTTTGGGTCTTTAAATGTACATGTACATTGTGTGGTTAACATGGCCATTGATTATGAAATGTCGGTTAACGTGCAAAAACTCTAAGTGATGAGAAGTAACTTATCATAATAACAATAATAATAAAACGAAATTTTCACTGTACATTTGTATGAAAATATATGAACAAGAAATATACAACATGGAAGAAAGATCTTCCTAACTTTGTGCTCAATCAAATCAAAAATGAAATAAAAAATTTAAAATAATGTCTGACAATAAAATTAAAATTCAACTAAATTAACAGACAAATATACTGTGGCATGAACAGATTTTGAAAGAAAACCATAACTAAGTATCAGAATCAGATATTCCATACAACTCCCTCCATTAAACAACAATACCGATATTAATAAATATACACAAATACACGTTCCCATAAAGATCCAACTGAGTTATGTACGATAATAATATTTTTTGATAAGTTTAAAGTTTTACTTGAAGAAATGGATGTCAAATTACCTGAGTAATTATCAAATGCTGTTGGAACATACTGCACTGGATACCCATTTGTTGTGTAGCTAACGACGAGACTTGTCTTTCCAACTGCCCCATCCCCAACTAGAACACATTTTAGTTTGGTATCACAATGAATAAGATCTTCATCCGAATCGGCCCGCAGCACAAAACTACTCGGTGTGCTCGGTGGGTGAGTAGCCGAAGCTCTGGGTTGGACGTTCGGTGGCATTGCGGCACCTTCCCCGTTCTGTCCTACTTGGTCGTGAAAAGAGCCAACGTCCCGATATTCCTTTGAAAAACCAGCTAGCACCATCGAGACTTCGACATGTGGAGTGAGTAGTGTCCTCTTTGTAATCCAAACATAAATGAAAACAATTATAACGTTTTAATAATAAAACGTCATCAGTTTGGTAGAACTGTAGAGTCTAGGCCTATGTTGTAGTTGTGGAAGTTGGACTAGTCTTATGGTCTGGAGAGTGGAGTTGAAGTTTGGTGGAGTCCCGTCTCGACCTCACTGAAGTTTGATGCTTGTTATGTATTAGGCTAAAATCTTGCTTAGCTAGTTAGCTTCTTTAGTATTGAAATATTCCATGAAATATCCAAACAAACTTTTAAAATGCAGGTCTGTTCTAAACTGGCATCGGTGGTGGTAGACTGAAATGGACGTGCGTGTTTTTCCTCAGAAGGACGTTTCCCAAATGGTTGTCTGTACGCTTTCGAACTATACCATCGCGATATAAAACTGCGCGTCAGTGATCAGCTGGTATACGGTACGCATGCATGTAATGCGAATGTACGAACTTAGCTTCTGCGCCGCCTCGGCATCTTCGTCGTACATGGCACGCACCCCACAGACATTATTGTGACGTAGCGTCGATTTCTCGCGTTGCGATTGGTCAATTTTTAGCTTGTTCCCATAACAGAAGTGTGGCAAACTTGGAGTTTGGGAGGTACCACAAGCCGCGGCTAAATCAAAGAGACTTGTGGAAAGAGCGAGTGACGTAGGTCTATGTACAAGTTAGTGTTATCTTCAAGCAGGAAAGGCTGTAAGTGTGACGGTAAATTACATTTTTTATTTTACATGGAAACAAATAATGATAAGGATGCCTATCGATAAAGAGAGGTGCTGACGTGTATAAACAATCACGCAGAACATTAGGTAAATCTCAAGCAAAGTTACTTTTTGGTGAGGCTACAGATCTCACTGTTATTCCCACCTCCCTTCACAAAGTATTAGAAAAAAGAGGTTTCTTCAACACTCACACAATTCAAATTTAATTCCCGGGCCCAAGAGAATATTTCGACTGATACCGATTTAGTATCATTGGGGGATCCAAAAACACATGAGGTTGAATGTGCCCCCCCCCCGCCCCCTTTGGCAAAACCATATCCGCCTACTTCTGGCATAAAGGGGGAGGGGCATGCACAAACCATTGCATGTACCCCCCCCCCCCCCCCGTAGGTTGTTGTCATTGGTGGGGGGCGTGAGCTTGCTTGCCTACCTGCTTATCAGAAATATACTGACTTGTGTCCCCCTGCTGAAACTGTGATACACCCCCCCCCCCCCTTTCTCCCCTCGGCCAGAGAATCGTGGATTTTTAAAGTGTCAGAACCTTCACCTGCATGGTGTAGCCTACTTTTCTACCCCAAACAACGAATCCGATACGACATAACTGTATAAATAAACCTCACCGATTGGGGGCGTTATAAAGGAAAAGGAAATCGGCATGCTGAGTGTCGATGCCGTGAAGTTTATAGAAAGAAATTGAATAATTTCTCTAATTTCCCTTTCATTGCTATAAAACCACACATTATTTGTGTTTAACATCATATATCATTATTGTACCTCTGTTAACCAACGAACAAGAAAATTCCCACGATGCTGAATATTTCATGTTATAATAATTCAAGTTTACAATCAATGATTCATGAAGAAAAAAAATACACATACTCACAATTTTCACATGTCTGTTTGATCCTTCTTGAGTACTTTTAAGGGATTTTAGTAGTATTTTTCGAAAAGGGGGGGGGGGGCTTGGTGCCCTCATTTTAGAAGGATGCATTGGACCTTAGAAGTCAGGAAAATTAAAAGATGTCACGCGGGAGAGTTCGTGAAAAAGTTGAGTAGACAATCAGACAGCCCTAACCCATGTATAATAAGATCAATGCACCCCCCCCCCATCCTTGACTGGAACCACACTGAAACACCACTGCTGTTAAGAAACTATATCTGACTGAACAGCCATTAGATTCAAGAGAGTTAATATACATTTGTGAAATATACCTACATAAGGATTACAGGCTTTCGTGTATTGGACACGTTTCGCTAAGATATATATATATCATTGTTATGGAAGATGATTTTGAAAGCACCTCGGGCAAGAAAAAATATCGATTGGTGTCCCTTAAAGCCGTCTTCAAGATAAAAATTTACTTTTCATCAAGTTTTTTTTTTTTATAATCGGAGGTAAGATGAGGATGATTGATGGGCGCTATGATTAAAAATCATTATAATTTGTTTTCCTTCCACGGAGTTCTTTATTTTCAAATCAAATTCCATCATAAGTATATCCATGAATATTATTGTATACACATAATTCAAGAAATAATTTAATATAATGGCTTAACAAAGATAAAAATCATCACGACCGAAAACTTTGTGGCAGATAAAACAAAAAATTTATGACAAAATTAGTATTTTAGATATATAAAATAATACCAAACATAAAATAAATGACCATGTTCGTGTTGGCACATTTCCAACACTCTCAAAAAAAATTCTGAAGTGAAATTAAAAATTAAGAATTATTACTGAGTTCATACAAAATAATATTAAACAAATAATAAGTTCAGATCAGTGATAATTTATGACAAGGTGATCGGGAAGGATATTACTACCTATTGTGTAGTGTATTACGATACAGAAAACTGCTTTATGTTATCGATATTTACAGAGTAACAAAAGTATCAATGTGCATCCACTGCAATGACTTGATGCGGCTTATTACCGAGAAAGAAATAAAATTGACAAGCAATCGGAGACGCAAAAAATAGAAAACTGAATAGGATATCTCATTTAATATTAACATGGCTCCGCTCTTCCTATAGACTGACTTGTGATTTCATCAATCCCTTTGAGGGTCATCTACAGTAGACGACAGCCTTACAATCCGTTTAGTATATAGAGCAGCTTAGTTCACAAGCACATAATCCCCAGAACCAAATTGACACAAATCCTAAAACCACACAAAAGAATAAGATGATGTTAAGATGATAATCATGAGAGAATGTCGAAATTCATCTTTCCTGACATGCACCGCACCTTGAACATTCTGCAATCCGCCAAGGGGGCATTAGTGGATTTCGAGGCATAAACCGTTCATGGCATCTTTTGAAACCCCATTGGCTAACTGTATACAACATCAAAAGAATGACCCCTTAAATTATTATGTAATATTTCGGAATGGTGCCCCCACTACCCCCATGTACACAGTATCCGCCCTGCAACGATAAGAAACAGGAAGGGTACATTTTGGAGTGTTTGGAGTGGGCTTCCGTTGCTGATTTGAACAAACACTTGAGGTTACATTGAATGCATACCAGTGGCGCCACTAAATCATGATAGAACCTCATAGATAACATTCATGGCTTAACAAAATAAATCCGCTTTATATTATAATGATAGATGGCTATGTTACTTTAATTAGCATTGTGAAAAGATTTTACTGTCTTATTATATTGTTATAGTTTTACACAATGACAAATATGTAATGGGAGTCTAAGATTTTAACTCTATTGCTCCAAAAAGATAAGTAGTCCAAACGAAGAATCCCAAAGGCTACATAGCTTTAATGTGTCAGAGGGAACGTAACTGTTATCCGTTTGAGGACCGAACGCTTTTTACTCAGTTTATTCAACAATGATTATACATGACTGTAGCACAAAGTATGTACAAACTGTTTACTTGAAATAAGAGAAGTAGAGTCAATAAAATGTAGGGACAAAATATCAAAGACATCAAAACGAACATTTAAAGATAAATCTGTTCACGATCCGTGTGCACATTTCAAATAAATTTTGTTTTTCTCTTTTAATATGCTTTTCTGACAGCTATAACGTACCCTTTAAAATAAAATCGATAATGAGCACCCTTATACTTTAGGCGTTTTACTAATGTACACAAGTATAGCGAAGCATGCTTTGTTACCATGTACGATGCTAAATTTAGCTTGATCTTGTCGATATTCATTTATTATTTACAAACAAGCTAAAAATACTCCACAGCTGGAATATAAATCTTGTACGCCCCGTATTCTGTTGGGAATATTCTTCAGATAAATAAATTTGATTTCTTTGAGGTCTCTGGAACAAAGAGGTGTTGAAAAGGCAAGTGTCTGGCAATGTCACCACGAGTAGACAAAACATACATTTAAATAGACGCTCAAGAAACTAACCAAAATGAAAACATTGATAATATTACAGATAAATTCGATACTTAATGTGATTAATAATGTTCATCAATTGATTTAATATTCATGTCCCCCATTATATTTTATGGAAAGCATCTTGTCAACTTCCCACCCAACCGTGTTTGTCAGGGGGAGGCACGAAGATGGTAAGTATAGTGCAAATATATTTTTAAAGAAGTTCATTTTGCTTTTGCTTCAATTTCGGTTGATCTGGTATAGATCTGAAATTAAGAGTCCTTTTCTTAAACCAAAGATTCAAATGGATTATAGATTAGGAGTACATTCCTGAAAGAGAAGAATTCGGTCGGATGGCGGACAATCATAATGCCTTGATGCCGATAATGGACACATCGTTAGAAAACAAGGGTGGTGAGATGACGATGATGACACTCAGCATGGACAGTATTATGAGAAGACAGATGATTTGGTGATGCACGTAAGAAGTGGATTTTGGGGAATCAGATCAATAACATTTGTGAAGGTGATGATAATTACAAATATTAAGTTCTGAAGGGCATTCGTCAACTTACTATCATCATTAATTATATAGGTTCCTGTGTCTGATCTTCGTTTGGTACTATATTTTACACGTGCATATCCCGAAGCATGTTGTGTATTATGTGGCCATGTGAGTTGAATAGAAGTTTAAAGGGCCTTTTCATCCATGACATACCCCCCTGAAGGTGGAATAAAAACTTTCACTGGAGACAAGAGGCCCGAGGGCATGTAAGGCGGGTCTGTCGCTTGCTTCATCACCTCATTGCATTATACGAGATGAAACCACGCGAACCTGAGGATAGATTCAATGGTTTACGACGAGTGATCGATACAGATCGTATAAAAGAACACGAACAACATCGATTTTATCATTTGGGATGACAGAGGGGGTGACACAAAGAAATGCGAGCATTGAAACAGAAGAAGAAAAATCGAATTGGAGTATATGAGGTTACTGTCTGTCACTAACTTGTGTTTATCACACACAGTATCACAATGTTATACCACTAAATGCAATACGAGTTAAGAGTAAAAACATTACAAAACTATATGAACACCATACACGTATAGTCTTTAGCTCATTTAAACGATATTGTACAATATGGACTTCATGTAAAAGTATGAACAAAATATGTTGGCTCGAGACAACGAACTAGTACACTAAAAGTGAATTGATTGAGAATCAAACCCCTTCATTCATTTTTATGATGACTTGTTTCAAGGAGTGACTCTGTATATTTACTTGTTTTTTCTGAAAATAACAATCATGTTCTAAATAGTGATTATGATGCTGTTTTATGTTGTACATTTTATATACGCTGTTTTTTCA